GTTGTGCCCCTTGCTGGAAAAGCGCTAAAATTTGGCCCAACCACCTGCGCCTTCAGAACAGCTGGGCCCCACCAGAAGCCGAATCGGTCTCGTACGTGTGCGCTGACGTGCGTTGCGTGCATAATGGCTTTAGGAACAGAGTTGGGAGAAAGTCGGGGCAGTCGTACTTGTTTGGCGGAGAGGGGGCGAGGTAGTGATTTTTTTATAGAAATTTTTCCGAGAGAAAAATTTCGCTGGCTGCTGATTTTCCGCGCGTCTTAGCTCGCTATGTATTCCGTTCGTTGCTGGTGCTACAAAACTATAACATCACCACCGTTTTTGGTAGTTCACGCTGATAGGTGTTTGTATAAGCTTTCACCCCCTCCCCCATTCCCCCCCCCGTTCCAACTCAGTTTTTTTGAGAAAATGTGGTAAAATTCTTGGAACGTTGGTAGGGAGTAGGAAGAATTCGGTAATGTGGTGTATAGGTTGTGAGAGGAGATTGTACCTTAAGAGGAAGTTTTGTTGGCGGTGTGGGAAGGGCATTCCGCAGACTCCCTGCAGTACCCTATTTGGGAAATACCAACTTCGCGATGGAAAAACTCCATAATTTAACCAGAATGTCGTTGTAAGCCTTCTTCCGCCCTTCTGGTAAGACTCGATAGTGCGCACGCAGGACCCACTTCGCAAAGATATGTGAGCGACGGTCACCCTCTGGAACTTCTCCATCGTTTGCAACCGTGCGGTTTAGGAGGGGGAGGGAACGCATTTTGCACTTTCGCTGGTTCTTCTCCGTAGTTCATTTTTACGAACAGTGTCTCACTTTGGTAGGTCCTGCGAGTTCTTGTGAACGTTGCAAAACGGTACAAATAAACCCCTTTGATTACGGGTTAGCAAACAGAGGTCGTCACAAAGTAGCCTATACAAGATACAGTAACATTTGGTGCACCACAAAGGCAGCGTTCAGACTTCGCGACTGCAGCGCGCGTTCGACGCGATTGATGCAGTCGAAAACATATGCATTGATCGCGCCGAAGCGCTGCCGTCGCGAAGTCTGAATGCTGCCTAGGCACAAGTGCGCCCGCGTTTAGGTGGTCCGTGGACTGCGTGCGAGCTATGAAGCGCAACGTGCCGTTGCACATTCTTCCCGCCCTAGGCGAATCTTACCATGTGCGAATTCATGAGTTTGGACTTTTTAGATCAAAACCTCATCATCAAATCCGTCTCACATCTATGCCGACGATTTTCCCGACGATCCTGATTGTTCGTCACGTAACATGAACAAGATTTCATTAAGACATGGCAAATGCGGTATGAGCACTGAAAAGACCGTAAGTTCTAGGATAAGTTATCACCGTCTACACTGGGCTGCGCCATGCAGACGCCATCAATCTTTTGAATATAATGAGATCGGGAGCGATACCAGCCATCTCTTCAGCCTACTTTCCTCCCAGATCTCATTACTCTTTCACTGTTAAGGATAATCCATCGGGAGTCATTCAACGAGTCTGCATCTCAGTTCAATTGCACCCATTGTTCGTTACCGAATCTGATCGAAGTTACTGTGCTCAGTGTGTCTACGTACAAAGTCAAGTACTGGATGATTTTGAATCTACACTGGACATCAGGTGATTTTCTTTTTCTTCAGATTGAATCTATATTCAACGGCCAAAGGGTGCGGGATATGTACCGTCGTGATCCCCGCGTACGATAGGGCGTTTGGCGCAGCGTGGAGAATGGAGCGACGCCGAGGCAGCCTCTCCATCAATGATGCCATCCTGAG